ATTAAAAGAATATGTAATAAACATTTTAAATTTCTTACTCTTTTCCGTTACAGATAGAAAGGAGGAAAGAGCATAATTTAATCGAGATAAAGGAGACAAACAACATAATTGGTAATTTGCTTGAGTATTTAGACAATTCATCTACTAAATCGTCTATCATATACAAAGTAAATGGGTGGCTATGTGAATCAAATCCAGATGCGTATACACCAAAGATGGTCTCTATTGGTCCTCTCCATAAGACAAATCATCGACATGGTCCAATGGAAGAGCAAAAACTATAGTACCTACGACGATTTCTTGGACGGAAGGAGGGGCTTGATTTGAATAATTGCATCAGTGAATTGCATAAACTAAAGAGGAAGCACAAAAGTGTTACGAAGATATAAGACAGCACGGGACTTATGACGATTTTCTCTCAATGTTGTTGCTGACGGTTGTTTTGTAGTTGAGTTTATTCGAGAGCGTTGTGGAATGGTTCCAAAAGGAGAAGCTAGAATTATCATTAATAATCGTGCGAGTTACATATTTCGAGACTTGATGTTACTAGAAAACCAACTTCCTTTCTTTGTCGTCAACAAGCTTCATTCCATGACAAAGCAAGTTAACGAATCATCATTGGTAGTACTGGTGAAAATTTTGTATAACAATTTCGGTGGCATGCTAAAAAGGACTGGGTCATCGTTTAGCAAGACGGAATGTAATAATATTGGAAATATCAAATATTTACTTCATCTACTACATATATTTTCATGTAATGACATTAATCCTAAGGAAAAAATCAAAACGTATTGCACTCGTAAGGTTATGCCAAATGCAACGGAGCTTTCCGAAGCTGGAGTTAGCTTTGCAAAGGGTAGTGATATAACAAGTTTATTGGATATAAAGTTTGAGAGTAGTGGATTGATGACAATTCCTTGTTTAACAATCAAACGTGATACGGAAACCATCTTGCGAAATCTCATTGCTTATGAGAAACAGTCATCTGATGTACAATTATCTAAATATTTCAGTCATTATGATGTTTTCATGAATAATCTTATCGACTCAGAAAAATATGTGAATTTGCTTCGCCAGAAAGGAATCACAGTGAACTTGATGGGAGACGACAAAAACCTGGCCATCATACTCCTCATACTCACAACTATACAGACTATTCTAGCTTTCATAGGTTCTGTTAAGTAAGTAGGAGTAACCATCTCAATTGTAATGTTGAGACAATCTTGGCTAAACCATCTGCTACTTGGTTTGCCTCCCTGTCCCAAAGCTTTGTATTGTGTCTTCAATGATTTGAGTGAACTTCTTGTTATCATCAGACTTGAGATTTTTTGTCAGGGTAGATCTGGAAAAGGAATATATTGTCCTTTTAGGATAGGGAAAACTTTTTCCTTATAGGTTTGGGATTGCTTGGGTTCTATATACAGGGATGGGATGCAGTTGGAGATTCTAAAGTATTGTGCAGGATTTACAATATAGTCTTAAGAGCTTGAAATATTGTACACTTTCTTCTTTTTTCTCATAGAAGAAAACTCTCTCTACTTTGGTTTGAATAATTAGGCATCGTCAAATCTCGTTAAATTCTTGTGTTTTTTTTCTTCTCTATTTTCTTTATTTATGATTATATGCTAGTTAATCCATGATATTTCCGCGATAATAATACATTGATTAATTCTTCCAAATTATATCCTCTTACCGGAGTTCATATATTCCTATTAGTTGATGATTTCCAACAAACAAGTTGACTATATTTAGCCTTTTTCATTGTTGAACTTCATCATTTATACCCTTTAAATCAACAAATATGGATATGTTTGTTTTCTATGTCATTTTTTTTTTAAAGAAAAGGTTCATCCATGCCATTATTTGTTAACTAAAATAATATAAATAAACCAAACTTTTAACGAACGGCATAGATGAACATTTTTCCATTTCTCATAGTTCGATGATATATTTGAGTTTTTCTCTTTAAAAAAATGATGTAATTAATGGTGTGGCCGAATCATAATTGACCACATGTAAAAAATGATTTTGCAAAATCGAAATTGTTTTCGGTTAACAAAATAATGGTATGAGTGAGCCTTTTCTGAAACAGAAATGGCATGGATAAGCCAAACTTTTAACAGATGCACCGCATAGATGAGCCTTTTTTCAAAGTTCGATGATATATTTGAGTCTTTACTCTAATTTTAGTTGTCACCTGACTTAGCCCGAACATGATTTGCAATTGTAAGCTTATGAATGATGCTCTGATTCTTTCGAACCCAACAATTTGATTCTAAAATTTGAGTAAGAGTCAAACTAGTTTTGACATGAATTTCAATCATAATTCGTTGATTTTGAAGTTATAGCCAAATTGTACCAATTTTATTGAATTACCAAATCCAAAATTTGAAAATCCCAATTCGAATGTTGAATGCCCACCCCTAAAGGTAAGTATAGTGAAACGAAGCATATTGTCAATTCTTGGATCATATTCTTAAAGAAGAAAATCAACTGCACAAAATGGTTTCTTCTCTTCAATCTAAGAAAATATATCGTAGATCGTCCTTTTTCAAAATAATGCACTTATCCTATTGAAATTATGAATATGCCTATGTACCAATCTCATAGTCCTCTTCCCCACTACCCTCACATCCTTAACCCCTATGCCAACCTTAATTGTGCTTGCTTAAATTTTATACAAATATTATATTCAACTTATTTATCAAACATTAAAAATAAATAAGAAACTCACATATTTTTCAGAAAAAAATAGCAAATCTTCCATCATACTGAACACACCCTAAAAGTGTTGTTCTTCAATTATTCTTGATACTAAAACTTTATTTATTCTAAGATACTTTTCTCAAAATGCACACTATTTCATGTTAGAAATATAGGCAGGTTTGCAATTAATCTATATATAGTATACCCATATCGAATTTAATATTCACCATCTCTCATATTCCTTCACCTTCATAAAAGTTAAGCAGAACAAAATAATTTAAGAAGAAACTCGAGTACACTCCAACTAGTCCGTTTTGAATCAGGTAATTTTTAAATGTCTTATACAACATCCCATCCAGTACATTATAACAAATAAATAATTTTGAGAGAATATTATAATTGTCACTATATTATATTTAACGATAATAATATAATATAGATACTTTTAATAACCAACATTCTAGATAAATGTCGTTAAGTAAATAGTAATTGTCTCAATTGTACCTAAAGTTCCATCTCCTAAACCTAATAATATGCTACTTATATTGATTACATTGGTATTTTTTTAATTTGAGTAGTAAGTTGTAAGATATTAGATATCTTTCCTTTAATATATGATTTAAATTTCTCTTATTGGATGTATTTTAGAAGAGCCAGTTCTTGAGCCACTTCGTTTCAATTTGTTTATCTTTGTTTAACTTCATATTTTTACATCATCGCATGTAAAAAAATGGGATAGAACTTATTACTAACGTCTTTCATGTTTTTTTGATGTGGTGTTCATGCCAAACAAAGAAAATAACATATTAGCATATGATGGAGGAAATCGAGGAAACAACTGATAGGTACATCAATCAAGTAAGAAAAAAGAAGCTATTTGAACCAGGAAACAATTATTTTGTTTTCAGGCCATTAGTTGGCTGATTAATGAAGTAGGCCCAAAACAGATGCTAAACACAATGAAGAAAGACCACATTTAACTAGGGAATTTGTAATTTTGTACAATGTTGGTCATTACAATAGATACTGGACAACATTTCCAAATAATGAACATCGAAATATCAACACCTAACTCCTTGGGACCCCATTTTTAAAGTATCATTAAACTCTAGCAAGGGACTCTTTAACATCTTTTAGAACAAGAGATTCAAGTAATGACACATGAATGAGCAAGAAAACGACCACTAGACCAAATATTTCTAATGACACGCATCAAAACAATAGAATTATAATGAAATTTAGTAAAAATTTTAAGCAAAATCCAACATGCTTAAATTCCCAAGTAGGACAAAGTTAAAGTTAGGATGCTAACAATACAATCAAACACCTATCATCCATACTAAACACAAGATTTGATCAATAAGGAAAACCAAGTGATCATACAATTTTCCCAAAAGCAAACAATCACTAGAACAAGCTTGGAGAGGTGCCAAGGCAAGAAAACACAACAGATTGAGACTCGAGGAAGTATTTAACCAAAGAACATGAACAATAGAATCAAAGAAAATGCTAACGGACGAAATAGGCATCACAACAACAATTTTCAACAGAGAAACCGAGCTAATAGCATGCTTTGAGGGATGTCAATAGCACCAAACAAGAAGCTGTAAGATTATCATTTGCAACAATAACATGAATATCGATAAACACCTAAACAAGCAATAATTCTTACTAACAGTCAGATGACAAACAGAGAGACAAACTAAGTATACTAAGTAGATTCAACACTTAAGACTATGAAGATAATACTAATAGCTAATCAGAAAAGAAACAAAGCACTGAAAAAAAACTTTCAGACATATTTATATGGAACAGTAGACGAGACTCCGACACAAGCAGAGAAGTTAGCTAAAACGGTCATCAAATTTATCCAATTATAACATGAAGAACGCCAAGACGTAATTGAGAGGAGCAGAAACAGTAAGCATATCAACTAAATGTCAAACGAAACAGAGGTTTACCCCTTTCCGGGCAGCGACTGGGAACTCGAGGTGAAGAGCTTTCCACAACTACAAAATACGATGAACTCCGACGAGCAATGAACAAAGAGGACCCTCTTTGCTCCGCTTCGCTATGTTCGAATGAAACTATCAAAATGTAGGCTATATATTTCTGTTCCTTTCTCTGTTCTCTCGACTACTTTGCTTCTATTTTTTGGAGTTTTTGTTCCCTTTTTTTTTTGTAAAAAAAACGAATTGCTCCCTTGGAGAATAAGGCTGCTGACTCCATTTCGTACACCTCCTCAACGGATTCAAAGAGGGGACCGTCCGATTCTTTCACATGGACGATCAAAGATGGAGATGGAGAGACCTGAATTCTGTACGGAGAACGAGGGAGAGAAGAGGGTCACGCGACTTGGATTTTCTGAACTCGGGTCGGCTTTCTGGGTTCTCGATTTTGGATTGCTGGAGATTGTGGGTTTCTTCGTGTTGAGGAAGAAGAAGAAAAAGACGCAGGGGTCTGGTAGCGTTTGCTGTACGTATGTTGTTTGTGTATTGTATGTTTGGATTGTTGAAAAATAAAGTAGGCTGGATCTTGTTGCATTTGAGAGAATTGAGAGTGGACTGATTCATTTAGAGTAGAATTTGGGCCGGTTGGACTGAAGAAATAGGCCCAAAACTTGGTCTCAAATGGGTTTAGGGTGGGGAAATAATGGCTAAAATTGCAAATAAAAGATTAGGAATGAATTAACAATCTAGCCAGATGAATTTTATTAGCGAATCCAACTAAAGATTAACGAAAACGAATTAATATTAATAACCGAGTATCTTAATCTTAACAAAATAAAATAATTAACTTAATTATAAATTAATTAATTTAAAAATATAAACTATTACTTAAACCAAATTAGTTGACAAAACATTTAACTAAAACTAAAATCCTTTTGAGACAATTTTCGAATATTCATAAAATATACTAATTATGTACATAATTATTTAAAACATATATATTATTTAAAAATTATAAAATGTGACAAAACTATTTAAAATAACTTTAAAAATATTTTGAATTTTATAAAGTCAATTATTTCAAATCGTTTGGAATTTAAGAAACTCGATGATTAATATATATTGTGGAGATCCAAAATTGAGTGTCAACAACTAGTATGATCGCATTCTTACCTACTAATATTCTACTCTAATTTATGTCCTACACATCTTCCTATCATAATGTTTTAACAAAAAAAATCGAAAATTAACTAAACCACAAATTATGAAGTAAAATAAAATAATCAAAAATTGATATGATATTAATTTTATAAAATAAGAGATCGAATCTAACATTGACAGTACCCCTACCCTACACGTATCTAGATACTTCATAGCAATGAAAAATCCAGGACAAGCAAGAGTTGAATAGACATAAAAAAAAATATCGCTATTTATAATATTCTTAGTCATTGTTATTTTTTTATTATTATTGTCAATCAATATATAATTTGATACTTATTTTACAGTTTAATTTATTTGAATTTGTGATAGAATATCTCATTTTGAAAGGTGAATTTTTTTTTTGGGACTTAAACTTGAAGCCTTTAATCAATGAGGAAAAAGTAATTACCATTTAGAGCGTGTTTGGTATGGAGGAGAACATTTTCTGGAAAATGTTTTCCAATTTTTAATTTCATATTTGGTTGGCCTTAAATGTTTTTCAAATCAATTTATTTTCCTCAAACTTAAGGAAAATGACTTTCCTTCCAAAATTAAGGAAAACATTTTCCTAAACTCTACTTCATCCTTTAATTTTTTTTTTCTTACCCTACCCATACCCCGTACCCGACCCTCCCCATTCAAAATGTTTCAAATTTTCTTATTTTTTACATTTCAAATTACAAACCAACCCCCCCCCCCCCCCCCCCCCCCCAAACAAAATAATTTAAATGCTATTATTGATTTTTTACCTCACCCAATCCCTACTACCCCTACTCCTTACCCCCTCCCCCCAAGAAAAAAGTTGCTTTTGAAAAATACTTTACGTCACCCCCCCCCCCCCACCTTGACAACCCCCTCCCCCGCCACACCCGTCAATTTTTTTAAAAAAATATTTTAAATTTAATTTTTTTAATTTCGTACCTTCAAAGATATGTATACAAAAAAATAAAATAAGTGGACTTTAATAATCATAATATGATTAAGTGATTATTGGTAAACATCATTTATGGTTTATTTAAACACAAAAGAAGAAACAATCACACTCTTAACTTAGCTTCAATAGATAATTATGTCCTCCAACTTTGAATTTGCACAAATATGCACTTAAACTTGTAAAAATACTCTCCACAAAAAGGGTTTAAGGGACCTCATGTAACATGTTATTGTTTGTCGGGAGAAATATATAAAAATCTTTGGCTGCTTGTAAGTACAGGGAGAAGAATAAATTATATTCTTATCAGATGATAAAGCATTGTATATGGAACACCAAATTAAAGTTTTCATTAATGACTCCTTTTCTACTATAACTTTGGATGACTCTTGGCCTATCCTATGTGATAAAAGATAGAAAAAAATAATTTATTCTATGATACTGAAGCTTTATTTATTCTAGGCATATATACCTTTTTGTTTGCCTCAATAGACATCTAACTTTATGCCATAAACACACGTTTTATGTGGCAAAACACATGTAGAAATTTAGGGCTGCGCATAATCACCGAAAAACCGAATCGAATCGAATCGAACCGAATTATTTTGGTGATTCGGTTTCGGTATTTCGGTTTTCGGTTCGGTATTCGGTTTTGTTTTTGTATTTTTTGGTATTTTGGTTCGGTTTTCGGTATGTAATTTTTGTGTAATGCGGTATTTCGGTTTACCGAAATATATTATATTATAATATATATTAATATTATATTAATTATTAATATTAAATAATAAATATTATAATTAAAAATTAAAAACAAAAATTTGTCTTTTCAAACTTTTCAACTTTACAGACCCACTTCCCAAAAGGCAAAAATTACCGTTCCCACGTCTAGTCGTCTACAGACTACAGCAGCATCGACCATTCCGGCGACCAGCAGTATGCAACAGTCGCCAGTCGACCAGCAGGCAGCCGCAGCACAGCAATGATCGGTAAATTTCAATGTTATAACAAGGCTAAATTTCAATGTTAATGACAACTTATTATTTTGAATCATACAATAATTCGAAAAACAGAGTAAAATAAGCAAAAAGAAATAAATATAAATAAAATAAACAAAAAAATTACAAAATTTTAAAAATTCCACTAAGCAGGCCCATAACAAAAAACTAAATTAACAAAACCGAACCGAAATAACATAAATCGAACCGAACCAAATTATTTCGATTCGGTGTTCGGTACACGTTGTACAAGAACCAAAAACCGAAAAAACCAAAAAAAAAAAACCAAAACCGAACCGAAATACCGAATGCCCAGCCCTATGTAGGATGCCACGGAGAATCTGTGCATATGTTTGTTCAACTCTGTACAAATTTAAGTGTTTATTTGGGCACACGCAAAGTTAGAAGGGGTATAAATATTAGTCAAGGTCAAACTAAAAGACATATTTATGTATTACACATTTATTCAATAATATTGAAACTTTATTTATTCTATGATTTATGTATTATTCATTTATTCTGTAATACTGAAGCTTTATTTATTCCATGATACTTTTCTCAAAAATGTACATTATTTCATGTTAGTAATATAGGCAGGCTTGCAATCACACAAAAGAAAATCTATATATAATACTCATATAGAATTTTTTATTCTCCATCTCTCATTCTTCACCCTCATAAAATTTGAAGAGAGAAGAATTTAAGAAGAAACTCAAGTACACTCCAACTAGTCCATTTTCAATTTATAAATAGATAAATCAAAAAGGTAATTATTATTTTAAATGTTTTATATATATGTATATATTAAGCCAGGTTACCTCAAATTAGTTTATTTTTCTACAGGTTATGACAAGACATGTATATAGGGTTCTTTTTCATAAAGCTACAAGAAAATTAAAATTGATTTCCTTTTTGCTTGTCTTTTCTTTTTCAAATCAAATTTTGTAATTAATTTGATTTAAAAAAATGAATTTTTGACCAAAGTTATTATTTAAATCAATTCATCAAATTAATACGTTCTTATTTTTTGAAGTTTTACGAAACTAGAATAAACGTGCTTCTCAATAACGTTTTAGTCAATATTTTATTCAGAATAAGCAATTATTAAATGTTACTATCAATAACGTTTTATAATTTGTTACTCTGAGGTATTACGGTAACGTTTCTTTAGAATTCTAGTGATTTTTACATTATATATATCTATTTTTCTTGTAAAAAATTATTTACTAAGTCTATAGTCTACCCCGTAGAATATTAACTATATTTGCCTCTGCCTTCAACACTTTTGTTTCTAATTTTCCTATGTTTACAAATAGAGGATGAATTCTCAAATCTCAACCTTGAGTCTATGAATGATCCTTTAATTGGCCTCTGCCTCCAACATTATTCTGAGTAACGTAATTAGGTGTAAAATGTGTGTCAGAGTGACGAATTATAAAACGTTACTGATAGTAATATTTTATATCTATTTACTCCGTCAGATCTTTGTATTTTTTTCATTGAATTCTTTTGAATGAAATAAAGCCAAAACGTTATTAAGAAATATGTTTATTCTAATTTTGTAAAATTTCAGAAAAATATATTATTTTGATAAACGGTTTTAAATAATGACTTATTTCGATCAAAATTTCTTTAAAAACAAACAACTTTCTTTTGTAGGACTTATAGTTGAAGAAAGAAGTATGGGAGATCACTCCATTGAGATTACCCCAAGAGATGACCAAATTCCACTGCTTCCTCAAACTAAAAAAGATGAGGTCTCTCTCAACTATATAAATTTATTTATTTTATTTCATTAACACACTTTTCTATTGACAATTAAATGCATAATCTTTTTCTATATATGTGCATGAATTTCATGAGATTTGGAGGGGTAATGCATAAGGTGTGGTAATTTTTTAAAGTCACATGACATTTTTGAAATTAAAAAATTAGTTTTATATTATTTTTAATTCATTCTATTAACAAAAGGGGTAAATATGCATCATTTATAAAACAATGAAGGTATATATGCATTACTTTTTTTTTACGAAATATATATTTAATCTAGACCACAAAGTTAAGAAGGGTATACTTGCCTCTTCTCCGTTACAGATAGAAGAAGGGAGGAAAGTGGATCATTTAATCAACATAAATGAAAGAATTGATGAAATGTTTGAGGATTTAGACAATTCATCTATTAAATCGTGTACGCTATTCAAAGTAAATGTGTGGCAACGTGAATCAAATCCAGATGCTTATACACCGAAGATGGTCTCCATTGGTCCTTACCATAAGAAGAATACTCAACTTGGTCCAATGAAAAAGTACAAACTATTATACCTACGACGGTTTCTTCAACGAAATAAGAGACTTGATGTGAAAAGTTACATCAGTGAATTGGAGAAAGTTAAGGAGAAAGTATTGAAGTGTTACGAAGATTTAGAAAAGTTTGGTAACGATGGTCATGAATTTTGCGAAATGTTGTTATTTGATGGTTGTTTTGTGGTTGAGTTTATTCGAGAGTGTTATGGAATATATCCAAAAGGAGAAGACAAGATTATTAATATTAATCATGTTTACATACTCCGAGACTTGATGTTACTAGAAAATCAACTTCCTTTCTTTGTCGTCAACAAGCTTCATGACATGACAAAGCAAGATGATGAATTACCATTGGCAATACTGGTGAATAAGGTGTTTACCTTTTTTGTTAACCGGCCAAATATGGACCTTGAATCCCCTGAAAAGATAGAATGTAATGCAGAAAATATCAAACATTTACTTCATCTAGTACACATAGTTTCATGTCATGGGAATGTCACGCCCCGAGCCTACACCCTGGGCGGGACCGGCACCCGGAGACCATTTCTAGCCCCAAGCGAACCCTTGGCCTGGCTTTCTTAACTCAGCGGAAACCTCAACAGAATAACTCAATGCAATGCAATATTACAAAACAACTTAACTTATAAAATATGGCCATAAAGGCAACTCGAATCTCAAAATAGAATATTTACATATATATAGATGAGAGACTCAAAACTAACTGACTGACTGTCTGTCTATGAAGCCTCTAAAATACTGAGATGGATGTTGGGACAGACCCCGCAACATCCTAATAAAACAAAAACTAAGAACACAAAATAATTGAGTCCTCCGGAATGCAAGGAGGCTCACCACTGACTCTGGAGTGCTCAGCTGGATCAACGACGTGCAGGATGCTGATCCGGGGTACCTGAATCTGCATCATCAAACGATGCAGGCCAACTGGCATCAGTACATGGAATGTACGAGTATGCAAGCTGGAAAACTAAGCAACAAAGGCTAGAAGGAAAACTGGAAGAAACTGAATAGCTTACCTGGCTTAACTTAACTCAACCTGACTGACTTCTTTCAATATAAGGCAATTTAAAACAAGTGCGATATAAAGAAAGATTGCTTAAAACATGCTATGAACTCTGTGTGTATACAAGGATACAATAAGCCTGAAATGTGTATAAAAATACAATGAACTGATGTATATAAAAAATACAATAATCTCTGTGTATGAAAAATACAATAACTGCTGTGGGAGTTTCTCTAACCGACAACCATCACATAAGAGCTATAGTGATGATACAGCGATCGACCTCACGCTGCCAGAGCATCTTATACCCGGCCAAAGGTATAAGACCTGAACTGACTAATGGATCCACTAGTCTAATCTGAAAAGGATTCATCTAAAAAGTATGATCTTTTTCTACCCATGGTGGCTAACATGGTTCTATGGGGGCTGTGGGTTCTTTGAACGCTCCCCCAATTCGGTGCTCGATACTACTCCCAAAAATGTACTGGCTCTTATGTTTTTAAAACATATTTCTTCCTGCTGATATGAGATAATTACTCAAAAACTAGCCCGAAGGCTTTTTGGAAATCTCAGTTTCCAACCTTGTTTAAATGTAAAAACATTTCTTTAAAACTTCTTTGGGAATACATAGTTCCCTAATAACTTTGAGAAAAGAACTCAACTTTAAACTCTTTACTTTACTTGAACTCTTGGCTTGATGTGAAACTCTTAACTTAACATGAAACTCTTAACTTTTGACTTGACTTGAAACTCAATACTTAACTTGGAACTTGAGCCTTAGAATGAAGTTAAAACGCTCAATGAAGACTCTTGGAAAACCTTAAAGACTTGCTTTGACTTACTTACTTCTAAGCTTGACTTCACTTGACTTGGAAACTAACTTCACTTGACTTGGAAACTAACTTCACTTGACTTGTAGTTTTACTTGACTTTTGGAAGTACCTTGGAGTGTTGGAAACAACTAGGAAACATAGGTATAATACCTAGGAACATGTATAAAAAAAGAAATGGTGAATGAAAGGGAAGGATTGGTGTCCTTGGCACTAGGAGAGGTGCAACAGCCCAGCCCCTTTTTCCCCAAAAATCCGACTTTTTCCCCTTGTTTCTTTCCAATTCTAAACCCTCTCAACCTCAAGGTTTCAGCAGCAACACTTAGAATCATAAAGACCCTTATTATACAATAGATTCAACTCAAAAATCACAGCCAGAAATCTGTACTAAATCAGCAAGAACTTCAACACAACACCACTACAACTTCAACAACCAATAAATCTTCTCTTGGAATTAAAAACGAGTTGGTGTGTGGGGGTATGAACCAACCAACACTAAGGATCATAAAATCCCTCAATATACAATAGGTCACAACTCAAATACACAGCCCAATCCTGTCCCACAACCAACAATAACTTCAACAACACAACTAACAACATCAACAACAACTAACAACTTCAACAACTTCAACAACAAATCCAATCTCTTCTCAAATCATAAAAACGAGCTTGGTATGTGGGGGGAAAGGATAAACCCACACTAAAGACTCACATACCTTGATAGGGATCACCCCCGACGAAAATCCACAATGATCTTGACAAATCTTGTTGATCTCCTCTTTCTTCTCTTCTTCTTCTCCTTCTTCTCTTCTTCTTCTCTTGAACCCTAACTCTTTCTCTTTCAAAATGGGACAAAATGATCCAAATATCAGCCTAATACAACAATATAAGCTCAAAAGAAATTATTTGTGAAAAGACCAAAATGCCCTTAAATTTCAGGAACGGAATCCCTGCCAACTGCCCAACTTTCAAAGATCATAACTCGCTCATACGAACTTGGAATCGAGCAAACTCAGTGGCGTTGGAAAGATCGTTCCACAAGCTTCGAAACCATAACTGGAACTACTCCTAAATCATCCTGATCTAGGAGTTATGACTGCTCAAAGTTGGCCAAAAACTCACTGATTTCCACACTTAGCCAAATTTTCCAGATTTTAAATTTTTCCAAAAATGACTATTTCCAAATTTCAAGCTTCTTCATATTCATTTTTAAATTGTCGGATGTTACAGGGAATCCCATGAAAAAGTTAAACAATAGCATAAAGTGTCAAAGGGTGATGCCAAATGCAACAGAGCTTTCTGAAGCTGGAGTTAGCTTTGCAAAGGTAAAAAATGTGACAAGTTTACTTAATATAAAGTTCGAGAATGGATTGATGACAATCCCTTGTTTTCTAGTCGTAGATGGTACAGAAACTGTCCTGCGAAATCTCATTGCGTATGAGCAACAATCATCTGATGTAGATCCTAGATATTTTAGCGATTATGCAACTTTCATGAATCATCTTATCGACTCAGACAAAGATGTGAATTTGCTTTTCCAGAAAGGAATCATAGAGAACTGGATAGGAGAGGACAAAGAAGTTGCTACCCTCTTCAACAAAATCGGAAAAGGAATCACTACATATTCTAGCTTCTATTACAAAGAAGAAATAACAAAAGCAATTGAACATTGTGAAAAACCATGGAATAGAATGAAGGCGAATTTAATGCACAATTATTTTAGTAGTCCTTGGGTAGGAGCTTCAACTGTGGCAGCCATTATACTGCTCATACTCACAACTATACAAACTATTTTGACTTTGACAGGTCCTATTAAAAAGTAATTATCTCAATTGTAGTGTTTCCTCACAACTCCCTCCATGTATTTTATATATGTGTTGATGATCTTTTTATGAGTTCTTCATTAATTCTATGTCCCCCTTTTGTATTGGGTTTTCTAGTTGAATGTTAATTAGTTTATTTCAAGTATCTATATTTGTCACTTTCCACCATCAAAAGGCACTAGGTAGCTCAATTCATAAATAAGAAATTCACTTATTTTTAAAAAAATAAATATCATCTCTTGTCGTATCAAACACATCCTAAAAGTGTTTTTCTTCAATTAAACTTGATATCAAATTTTACGAAAATCAAATGCAGATGCTTATATGCCAATGTTGATCTCCATTGGTCCATACCATAAAAGGACTCATGAACTTAGTTCGATGGAGAAGTACAAATTGTTGTACCTACAACAATTTCTCGAGCGAAAAGAAGGGTTTGATGTGGAAACTTGCATTAGTGCATTGGAGAAAAAGAAAGATGAAACACTAAAGTGTTATGACGATAACTTTGACGATGATATTGTTGGCAAATTTTCAAAATTGTTGTTGCTTGATGGTTGTTTTGTGGTCAAATTTATGCGAGAGTACTATGCAACCGAGGAAAAAGAAGAAGAAGAAGACAACGACAACATCATCAACTTGGAATGGATGAAGAAACAAGTGTGTCGAGACATGGTGTTACTAGAAAATCAACTCCCTTTCTTTGTACTTACCTTGCTTCATGACATGACAAAGCATCATAAAGAAGTGAGCTTCTTGTTTATGGTAAGAAAGACCTTACTTGATACTTTCCCAAAGGCGAAATTCATACCCCCACCAGAGATTCACAATTTTAATACAGAACAATTCAATCATTTAGTTCACGTAGTACACATGTTTTCTCGACCATCAGATCATGATCATATGAAAGCTAAACAAAACACAAATTCTACTACACCAAAAGAATGTTGCAAGATAAGATTTTGTGACAACGTTTTGCAATTAACGAAGTCAAAAGAAACTCCCAAAGTTCTTGGTTTATGGGATCGCTATCATATTAATTCCAAGTGTAACAGAGCTTTACGATGCTGGAGTTAGATTCATAAGAAAAGGATATGTGCAAGAAAAGAAGGAGGATAAAACAACATTATTCGATATCAAGTTTGAGAAGGGATTAATGAAAATACCTTGTTTTGAAATCGAGGATACTATGGAAACCTTCATGAGATGTGAAGTTTCTTCGCAAGGAGAAAATCATCCTTAAGGACATAGGGGATGACAAACAAGTGGCCAGCATTTTCAAGAAACTTTCGGATGGGGTGGAAATCACAAGATTTTATTAAATAAAAGAATGCAGCAAATTGATTCAACATTGTGATAAGCCATGGAGTCAAATGAAGGCTAGTTTAAGGCACAACTATTTCTCGAGTCCTTGGGTAGGAGCTTCAACTGTGGTAGCTATAACACTTCTTGTACTCGCTGTTATACAGAATGTTCTGGCTTTTATTGGTGACGTTATGAAGTAATCATTGTTGTAACTATGTAACCAATTGTTGACTGAGTGAGTGTTTCCTTTTTTTTTTTTTTTTTCAAAACCACCTATTGGTGGGGGGTTAGGTAAAGACCCCAACCTATTGATAACTTCGCAAAAAGAGTACAAGAGGTGGCTTTTCGGCCAAACCTCCATGGGTTACATTTAGTACTGAGTGAGTGTTTCCTCATTATAGAAAACTTGAACAATGATATCATTTGCAAATTTTCAGAAATACCTTTACTAGATGGATGTTTCGTAGTTGAGTTTATTCAAGAGTGTAGTGGAATGACGCCTAACAGCGAATTGTATGATAAACATTGCACGTCGAGATTTGTTGTTACTAGAAAACCAACTTCCTTTCTTTGTGCTTACCAAGCTTCATGATATGACAAAGGAAATTGATGGTCCTATCTTGAGAGGGAAGGTGATATCAAATACATCAAACATCTGCTTCAACCAGGGGTGTACCCACATAGAGTCCTCCGGGTGCTCAAGCACCCATTAACGTCGTCTCGGAATATATATATCTGTGTAGAAATTAAGAGGTATTTGTATAAAATTAACATAGAGCACTTAGTGAACGAATGATCTTACTGGTCCATTGGCTCTTGGGTGGGTGCTTAAGGCTCTTTTAGTATTGCTGAGCCTGAGTTTGAATCTCACTTTTAACATGTCATTTTTTATATTTTTGACTCCTCCACTTTCAGAGCATCCACAACCTTATCTGCCACTGGCTTCAACTAGTACACATGTTGTCGCACTGTTCATACTATAATTCTTTCCTGAGTGTTCAGTAATTAAGTATGAAGATTATGTCAAAAGATAAAAGACTACCAAACATTTTGAAGTTGATGATGTAATGGAGAAATCTTGTAGCCTATAAGCAACAAACATATGATGTACTTTCTAATTTTGTTGTGTTCATGGATTATCTTATCGACTCAGACAAATATGTGAATTAATGTGCTTCGTCAAAAAGGAATCATAAGCAATCAACTAGGAGAGGACAATGAAGTAGCTAACATCTTTGATAAAATCGGGCAGGGGGTCAATATCTATAGTGATTTCTATTACAAAGAAGAATGTAGAAAAGTTTGTAGAAGAAGTAGAATATTATTCCGAGCCCACAAGTTGTTTGTGTGTCTTTTAAGAAATTATAACCCTATAACCCCCTCACTATTGCCATGGTTTCGGGTTACTTCCTCCCAGGATAGAATGGAAAAACATTTGTGTAATAGCGGCAATGCAAATTACAAAACGCCAGTGAACTCAACAAACAAAGCAAATCACACGACAGTTAATGTTTTTATTGAAAAATGACACTTTCCTTATTTCCCATTCATACCTCATATCCCCAACAAATCCTCCATTATTTCATACATATATTTAATTGGCATAATACATAAACTATGCCCTCCAACTTTGAGTCTGCACAAGTATACACTTAAATTGCAAAAATACCATCCACAAAAAGGGTTTAAGGGACCTCATGTAACATGTTTGTTGGGAGATATAAAAATCTTGGGCTGCTTGTAAGTACAGGGAGAAGAATAAATTCTATTATTATCATATGATAAAGCACTGTATATGGAACACCAAATTAAAGTTGTCATTAATGACTCCTTTTCTACTATAACTTTGGATGACTCTTGGCCTATCCTATGTGATAAGATAGAAAAAATTAATTTATTCTATGATACTGATATTTTATTTATTCTAGGCATATATGTCTTTTTGTTGGCCTCAATAGACATCTAACTTTATGCCACATACACACGTTTTATGTGGCAAAACACATATAGGATGCCATGGAGAATTTGTGCATGTGTTTGTTCAACTCTGTACAAATTTAAGTGTTTATTTGGGCACATGCAAAGTTAGAAGGGGTATAAATATTAGTCAAGGTCAAACTAAAAGACATATTTATGTATTATACATTTGTTCTATAATACTGAAGCCTTATTTATTCTATGATTTATGTATTATTCATTTATTCTGTGATACTGAAGCTTTATTTATTCCATGATACTTTTCTCAAAAATGTACACTATTTCATGTTAGTAATATAGGCAGGCTTGCAATCACACAATAGAAAATCAATATATAATACTCATATATAATTTTTTATTCTTCATCTCTCATTCTTCACCCTCATAAAAGTTGAACAGAGAAGAATTTAAGAAGACACTCAAGTACACTCCAACTAGTCCATTTTCAATTTATAAATAGATAAATCAAAAAGGTAATTATTATTTTAAATGCTTTACACATGCACCCTTTTATGTATGTACTTATATATATATATATGTGTGTGTGTGTGTGTTAGGCCTGCAGGTTACCTCAAATTAGTTTATTTTTCTACAGGTTATGACAAGACATGTATATAGGGTTCTTTTTCATAAAGCTACAAGAAAATTAAAATTGATTTCCCTTTTTGCTTGTCTTTTCTTTTCAAATCAAATTTTGTAATTAATTTGATTTAAAAAAATGATTTTTGACCAAAGTTATTATGTAAATCAATTCATCAAATTAATACGTTTTTATTTTTTGAAGTTTTACGAAATTAGAATAAACGTGCTTCTCAATAACGTTTTAGGCTATATTTTATTCAGAATAAGCAAATATTAAATGTTGCTATCTTTTATAATTTGTTACCCTGAGGCATCACGGTAACGTTTCTTTAGAATTCTAGTGATTTTTACATTATATATATCTATTTTTCTTGTAAAAAATTATTAAGTCTATAGTCTACCCCGTAGAATATTAACTATATTTGCCTCTGCCTCCAACACTTTTGTTTCTAATTTTGCTATGTTTACAAATAGAGGATGAATTCTCAAATCTCAACCTTGAGTCTATGAATGATCCTTTAATTGGCCTCTGCCTTTGCCTCCAACATTATTATGAGTAACGTAATTAGCTGTAAATGTGTCTCAGAGTGACGAATTATAAAACGTTACTGATAGTAACATTTTATATCTATTTACTCTGTCAGACCTTCGTCTTTTTTTCATTGAATTCTTTTGAATGAAATAAAGCCAAAACGTTATTAAGAATTATGTTTTTTCTAATTTTGTAAAATTTCAGAAAAATATATTATTTTGATAAACGGTTTTAAATAATGGCTTATTTCGTTCAAAATTTCTTTAAAAAACAAACAACTTTCTTTTGTAGGACATATAGTTGAAGAAAGAAGTATGGCAGATCACTCCATTGAGATTACCCCAATAGATGACCAAATTCCACTGCTTCCTCAAACTAAAAAAGATGAGGTCTCTCTCAACTATATAAATTTATTTTTTTATTTCATTAACACACTTTTCTTTTGACAATTAAATGTATAATCTTTTTCTATATACGTGCATGAATTTCAAGAGATTTGGAGGGGTAATGCATAAGGTGTGGTAATTTTTTAAAGTCACGTGACATTTTTAAAATAAAAAAATTAGTTTTATATTTTTTTTAATTCACTCTATTAACAAAAGGG